TTGGCAGCAAGTGCCCAAGTGGGCATTAATTATGAATGCTAACCAGAAATCAAATACTGTGTTTGTACCCATTTAGGTAACCAGATTTCTTTAGCATTCTCTTGTGAAATTTAAAAATGTAAAAGCAAATACTATTAGTGGGCTGTGACTCCTGAAGAGGCTTCCATCACTCACTATGCATTATCTGAGTAAATGCTGTTGTAAAGATTTGCAATGAAGTGAGCCATGGACTATCTCACAGTTCTTAAGAAAGAAAATAAGGGCTTTTGAGCTGAAATGCTATAGAAAGATTCTCATAATACTATGGACAAAAAGAAAAAAAAAACTGAAACCCTAAAAGATCTGAAAAACATCTAGGAAAATTTGCTAGTAAAGAGCATCGTGTCTCGGAAACTGAAATATTTTGGCCATTTCATCACCACGGTGGATTTTGAAAAATAATAACAGAAGGCATGATAACAGGAAAGAGGGACATGGGCCACCTGTCATGAAGATGGGCAGAGGTTATATATAAGTACCACTTGGGTATGAAAGTACCATGAGGTTGGAGAGCTGGTGAGAGACTGAATTTTTTTCAAGCAGACCAAGAAGAGAGCGCAGCATTCTACAGAGGACCTGCTGCATGATGATGATAGAAAAATGACGTTCAAAGGCCAAATAACATTGAAAGACAGTAATAACCAAGTAGATTTATGATGAAATGATTTGGCTATCTGATGAAAATGCCCTGTACCAGCTGTCGCAGAGAGCCATTTGAAGGAATATGAAGACAGAGACAGGGGAAAGATAACTCTAAAAGATGAAATAAGTATTAAGAATAACCTTAGAGCAGTGAAAACCTACTTACAATACGATGCATTAGTAACAACCCTTAGACAATGCTAAAATCTTCACTTCCCACCCCCACCCACACCAAGTACTTAACCTGGTACTCATGTAAGGCTGTGTCAAAATTGAACCCACAACCTTTAGATCTGCAGGTGAGCATCTAGCCGCTACACCACTGTGGCTCCCTATTAAAAAATGATTTATGACTAACAATTATGAATAATTCTGTTTAATTCTATGTAACTAAAGGAAATATTGGAGATTTCTGCAGGTGAAGAACGTACTAGTGGACAACATGTTCAGGTGAGTTCACAGTTTGTCATTGGTACATTTTATAATCTTAAAGTTAAAATAAAGAGGGCCGACTTCTTTGCTCTGTAGAGAGATCAAGCCTCACTGGATATTATTCAGTGCAATGAAGTCGGCACTCTCAATTTTATCTTTAAGATTGTATAACCTCATCTCAAATGGTGAAATCAACTAAACGATAACTATATTTCTGATTGGGAAACTTCACCTCAAGAGGTGAAATCAAACACACATTTAAGCAGCAATGTAGATAAAGTTGGGGAAAAAGTCAATAAACAATGCACAGAACTAGAGGTCTTTCATAGGTACTACAAAAACATGAAAGTGAAAAAAGATTAAATCTAGAACCAAACTTAGATTATTGAACATCAGTCCTGTCATATTGAACAGAAATAGAATGATGGAATCATTAACTAATAAACTATATACATTTATTGTGTATATGACACATACAGAGACATCCAGTTACTGGCATAAGTTGAAATTCATTTCACTGAGATTCATAGACAAAAGAAGTAGAAAATGACTTAAAAACATGTTGTGCAGATAATTATAGACTTATTTTTCCTCTTTTTCTCCTCCAGCATTCCGAGCCCTTAAGGTTCATTGCTGCAGATATCTTCTTCTGCCTTTCTATCCCCCAATGGAGCATAGGCCCTCAACGAACTCACACCAAGTCGTTTTATCCTTTGCCATTGCATGGAGCTCTTCCCATGTCCTCCCCCTCTTTTTCATTCTCTCTTCTCCATGTGTTTTTTGGCCTTCCTTTATTCCTATGCCCCTGTGGGTTCTAATGCAAAGACATTCTAGTTATGCTGTTCTCCTGTTTTCTCATTGTGTGTCCTATCCAACATCTACGTCTTTTCCTCACCTCTTGGTCCACTTGAGCCTGTTTAGTTCTCTCCCAAAGCTCCACACTAGTTATTCTATCATACCATTTAATTCCCTCTATTCTGCGCAGGCAACAGTTAATGAATGTCTGTAATTTATTAGTAATTGCCTTAGTTGTTCTCCATGTTTTCGCCCCATACAAAAGTACTGATTTGACATTAGAATTAAACATTTTTAGTTTAGCATTTCTTTTAATTTCTTTTGACCTCCACAAATTTCCTAGTGCTATAAAAGCTCCTTTTGCCTTTTGTATTCTTATTTTAATATCTCTATCAGTTTCTCCATCTTTATCTACATTACTGCCCAAATAGGTGTACATTAAGAGAAACCACATTACTATTTGCCTGATTTATTCTCATTATCTTTGTCTTTCCTTTATGGATTTTCAGGCCAAGCTGCTGTGATCTCGCATCAAGTATATTTAATTTATCTTGCATCTGATTCTGTGAATGGGACAGAAGAGAAATATCATCAGCGAAGTCCACATCATCAAACTGTTTTGTAGGGGTCCACTGAATTCCATTCTTGGTGTTAGCAATTACTGTTTTCATAATCCAGTCTATAGCCAGTAAAAAAAAAAGAGAGGCGACAAAAGACATCCTTGTCGCACACCTGTTTTTATTTCAAGTGTATCTGTTAGCTTTCCCTCATGAAAAACTCGACATTTCATGTCTTTATATGTTGCCTTTACTAAGTTGATAATTTTCTGTGGGATTCCATAGTGCTCCATCAATTTCCAGAGAGATTCCCTATCAATGCTGTCAAATGCTTTTTCATAGTCCATATATCCAATGTAAAGTGGTGAGTTCAGTTCAATGCTTTGCTCTATTATAATACGTAATGTGGCTATCTGGTCAGTACAGGATCTGTTTGATAGAAAACCTGCCTGTTCATCTCTTGGCTTTTTATCATTAGCATCTTTTAATCTTTCCAAAATAATTCTACTTAATATTTTTCCAGGAACTGACAGCAACATAATTCCTCTATAGTTTTCACACTCCTGTAGATCACCTTTTTGGGACAGTTTCACAAGATATCCTTCGCTCCAGTCTGCTGGTATTTCTTCTGTCTCCCAGACTTTACCGAATAATCTATGTAGCAATTCTATTGATGTGTTTATGTTGGCCCTGATGGCTTCAGTTGGGATACCATCTGGGCCTGCCGCCTCTCCTTCCTTGAAAAGATTGATAGCTTTTCTAATTTCCTCTTTGGATGGTATCTCACAGTTGATATCCAGTTCCATTTCTAAAGGCTGGATATCTGGGGGAACCTCTGGACCTGGTCTGTTTAGAAGCATTTTAAAATATTCAACCCATCTGTCCATTTGATCTTTAGTGTTAGTAAGTACCTTTCCTTGACTATTTTTGATTGATCCAGTTGGCTGACTATATTTACCTACTAATTACCTTGTGTTACTGTAAAGTTCTCTGAGGTTTCCTTTTGCTGCTGCTGTTTCCGCTTCTTGTGCTAGACCATAGAGATATTTCACTTTATCTGCCCTTATTGGCTGCAGATTTCACCTGTCTCCATTCATCTCCTTGGTTGGCCTTCTCTTTTCAGTCTGTGAAACCAGGTGTTTGCAAGTCTCTCTGAACATTATCTCTCCAACATCTTCTTGGTCTGCCTCGTGGTCTACGAACATTCTGCTCCCTTGTGTATACAGTTTTTACCTCTCACCTCTCTGTCATCTGACATCTCTAATTTATGGCCCATCCATTTCAGTCTATTAGATCTCACAATGCCAGTGATCAGTGATGATTTAAACAGATTATGAATTTTGTTGTTGCTTCTCTCTATTCACCACTGTTTGCATATTTGATGGGTCCAAAGATTCGCCGTAAGACTCTGTTTTGGAAACTTTGTAACAAGGCTTCATCTCTTCATCTCTTTTAGTTGTGCTCTAAGTTTCAGAGCCACATAAAACAACTGGTCTTGTCAATGTTTTATATATTTTGATCTTGGTGTTGCGAGATAGAGACTTTGACTTAAGCAGATGTTAAAGGGAATAGCATACTTTATTTAGAAAATTATAGACACAAATGAAAAATGTGGTTTACTGATGTTGAAGGGCATAGTATACTTTATTTAGATAATAAAAGACATAAGTGAAAAATATTGTAGTTTGCAAATGCCATGGGGTTGAGGGCATAAGCTTCATTCAGTAGGGGATAACTGCTAAAAGAAGAAGAAAAAAAGATTCTCAAGAAAATAACTTCCTCTGCTGTTTGCCCTGTTTTACTGTGTGATACTAAAAGTGCAGAAAGTAAAGAAGGAAGAAGAGGATCTCTGTGTTAAAATGGTTAGGCTAATGATCTGATGCTTGTGGGTTGGTTTGAGCTTCCGTAATGTGGTTCTAGGTTCCCATTTTGAGGTGGAGAGGATGGGGGTGGGGGAATACCCATGGCTCCGTAAAAAGCGTGTCGTTCAAAGTGACTATTAAGCAGTATTTTGGAGTGCATCTGCCCCAAATAAGCCAAATCTGTAAAACTGATATGCATGTAAAACAAGTTATGACACAAGATCAAGGTTTAGAAGTTGATAAACAACCAAAAGTTTCCGTCGGAGCTCATAGCTGGTAAATGCTAAGAAGTCAGAAATTCATGCGTAGGTTGTCATCGAGCCAACAGCCATCCTGTAGAGAGAGAGAGAGAGAGAGAGAGAGAGAGAGAGAGAGAGAGAGAGAGAGAGAGAGAGGGAGAGGAAGAGAGAGGGAGATGGAGGTAGGGAGGGAGGGAGGGAGAGGGAGAGAGAGAGGGAGGGAGGGAGGGAGAGGGAGGGAGGGAGGGAGAGAGAGAGAGAGAGAGAAAGAGAGGGAGGGAGGGGAGAGAGAGAGAGAAGGAGAGAGAGAGAGAGAGAGAATGAGAGAGAGAGAGGGAGGAAGGGAAGGAGGGAGAGGGAGGGAGAGAGAGATAGAGAGAATGAGAGAGAGAGGGGGAGGGAGAGAGGGAGGGGGAGGGAGGGAGGGAGATGGAGGGAGGGAGAGAGAGAGAGATAGAGGGAGGGAGGGAGAGAGAGAGAGGGAGGGGGAGGGAGGGAGAGAGAGAGGGAGGGAGAGAGAGAGAGAGAGAGAGAGAGAGAGAGAGAGAGAGAGAGAGAGAGAGTAAGCCAGCTGGGATAAAACTTGTGCAGTGAAGTCAGTCCTTGCATTTCTAACCTTTTCAGTCCCAGACAGGTGTTTCTTTAACTCCTCTTTTTTTCTAAGCATTTGTTGCTTAAAGTAAATAAAGAGATTAAATCTAGAGCCAACCTTGGGGGTGAAGACGTCCAATTATTAATTCTTTGAGACAAAAACTAAAGTAACTGTAGGGATATAATGGATTATAAAGCTAGAGTGGGATGAGGTACAAGGAGCTCAGATGCACACAGCATGCCAGAGAACTCTAGTTAAAGCACAGTGAATTGCTCAGTACTGAAAAGGGTAAACCAGTTTAACTCTTTCAGTCTTAGTTCATAGCTGATGACCACATGAGTCAATAACTAATGACAGCAACAAACTCATGGGTATACTACTTCCACAGGAGCTAAATACACAGCTCTTGTAGGAGACCTGTGTGTTGTTTTGTGTCTGACTATGCTGTGTCCAAACATAAAATACAAAAGCATAATATTGTTGTGACTGTTGCATATGAGTAAATACAGTCACAGTGATGCCCTCTTTGGGACTGAATGAGTTAAACTTTAAAAAGGTAGGAGAAAAAATGAAAAGGGTTTCATATTTTCCTGTTTTTGTTTTGTTGTTGTTGACAAAAATAGGATTAAACTGCTCAACTTATTATTGCTATTATTTCTTCCAAATGATGCACTATATGTTTTTGGTTAAGTTTTTTGTGTGTATTCATAAACACTAACCTTTCATTATCCAGATAACAACCGGCAACAGAAATGTCAGTGTTGCTATGTCAGAAAAAATGGAAATAAGATTTTCCAACCCCTCAACTGTTCTGAAAGTTAAGCCACCACCAGAGCTTCCCCTTCCAGGTAAATGATCTGCATTCTGAAGTGACTAAAATGTCACATACACACACAAACACAAATTATCTGTCTTTACTCAAATCTCTGCTGCAAGAAAGAGATGACACTGAAGTGTCTGTATTTAGGCTGATATTTCATGGAAAAACCAGTCAACAAATTATTAGTCAAGGCAAACTCAAGAAACACACACACGCAGTAAATGTGTAAATGAACATGGGGGGAGGGGGGACACTTGAGTACATAGAAATATTATGTATGTAATAAACAGACAATGTATTGATCGGCACTCATAAAAAGAAGTAGAAGGACAGGTTTGATTCCCAGCACAGTAACAATAGCTTTAGCTTTTTATGCTGTCTAGTGTGTCCTTCTGTCTTTCTATTTTTTTTTTCTGTGAGTGCCAATCAGTAGTCTGTTTATTCTATATATAATATTTCTACAGCCTCAAGGGTTTCCCCCTCTGTTTATTTATGTGTATTATGTGTAACACAATGGAGCCTACCAGTTAACTCTCTTTTTTAAATGTTTGTTGTATTCTACACAAAGCATTATAGTCTGCTGTGTCTGTAAATTGTTGCTGTTTTTGTTTTTCAGCCTATGCTTGGTTAAAATAAATTTCTGTAACCTATGGTTTCATTTCAATGGTTTGAGATTAATTCTGTCGGTATTCTATAGTTGTAAATTTCAAGCTGTACGATAGACATAGCAAATGAAGACACATTTTTTAGGGTACATAGTTGGTCCTGTATCTAAGTTCACTTGTTTCCATAGCAAGGCGCACATACTATTTGGAGGTGACAGGTTTAATTCTCACACAGTAACTATAGCTTTCGATTTTTATGTTGTCTATTGTCTCCTTCTATTTTTCTACTTCTTTCTATGAGGGCCAATCAGTACATTGTCTTTTTGTTTATTATGTGTAGTAAATGCATAAGGCATATGTCAGAGGTGCCAACACCAACAGTTGTCACCAGATTTGCAATTTGTTGTTGGCGGAAGTAGTCATGACAAGTCAACCATACACACACATTATTAATGCATGAGGCACTTTATCCAGATTGACCGCACTTGGCCACCATCCATTTTAATTTATCATGTCATGGTGCAGACCATAGTGGGCATGGACAAAAGGCATTCCATACAAAATACACTACTCACAGTGTTGTACCAAGCACTTAACACAGTAGCTAATTTTTTTGAATATTGTGTTTCAGTTTTTAGAGCTGCGATCTTCAAATATTCACTTATTAACTTATTCACCATGTGTAGCTCACCTTGAGGTGCATTGGGTATATGATCTATTAAGTATACATTTTCCTCTTTTCTTAAAGGGATTAAAAAACACAATCACAGGGCCACAAGCAAATGTTCTACACTGCTGTGTAACAGCTTCATCTTCTTCTCCTTTTCCTCCTCCTCCTCTTCTTGTTCTTGTTCTTTTTTGTCTTGTTCTTATTGTTCTTGCTGTTGTTGTTCTTCTTCATCTTCTTCTTCCAATTACTTTAACAAGGTGTTGTGTGGAACTTTCAGAATCTTATGTGTGTCATTCTAGTGTATAAGTTTGCCTTTTTTCTTCCTGAGGCTGTACTTGATGTTGTTGTACTTGATGTATAAGTTTACCTTTTTTCTTCCAGAGGCTGTACTTTATGTTGTTGCACTTGATGTATAAGTTTACCTTTTTTCTTCCTGAGGCTGTACTTGATGTTGCATATTTTATGTGATCTTCTGTTTGTTCTGTTTTAATTATATTTCTTCAGCGTGGATCTTGGTGGCAGTTGGCAACAGGGTAATTGTTTAAGTCCTGACAGCAAATGTATAAACAGTTACTCAAAAAAAGATTAGATTACCTTTTTACAGGAACAAGACTCAAAACTTCTCAACCCTGCAGGCAACGTAGATAATTTTAGCTTTGCACCTCAAAGCTACAAACAAGAGGAACCAAAATTTCATAGCAGTGGAAGTAAGAGCAGATATACAGAACAGCCCAAGAAACAAAGCACCAGGTCTGGATAGAATTAATACAGAAGGGATGCAAGCATTCTGAGAAGTGGGTGTTTAATTGCTAACTACAATGTTTGAAATAGCTTGGGAAGAAAGAAAAGTCCCAGCTGAGCGGCAACAGGTACTAATAGTACCGTAATGGAAAAAGAAAGGTAATAGGAGAGAATTTGAAGCATACAGAGGTATATCACTACTGAGTCACGTAGCAAAAATGCACGTCAAATTACTAGAACAGAGAGTTAGACCCATAGCTGAACAACAGTTGAGTTCATCACAATTCAGTTTCAGAAAAGGCAGAGGATGCACAGATGCATTATTCACTCTGAGGCAAGTGTGTGAGAAAGCCATTGAGTATAATACCAAACAGAATGTTGTGTTTGTAGATCAGGAAAAGGCTTTCAATAGAGTGGATAAAAACAAACTGTGGTCTGTTCTTGAGAACTACAGGGTACAAGGCCAGTTACTAGAGAACATTGTAGCCATGTACCACACAAGCCAAAGTGAAGTAAGAACACAAGAAGACATATCAGATATGTTTACAGTCAACACAGGTGTGAGACAAGAATGTGTGCTCTTCCGACTTTTTTCAACATTTATATAGACAGAATATCTAACGAAACAAGTTTTGATACAGACAACATAGACCTTTATAATCATGAGGAAGTACACACATCAGAAGAAGTAATCGATTCACCCACATTAAATGAACTACTATTTGCTGACGACCAGTGCTTGTTCTACTCTGAAGAAGGTGGACTGCAAGACCACATTAACTGGTTAAACTCAGCATGCAGTAAATACAACATGAAGATCAATGCAAACACAACCAAAACAATGCAAGTTAGTATAACCTCTGGCCCACTACACATACAGCTGAATGTTTCTTGTCTGAATCAGATTAGGGAGTTTAAATATCTAGGAAGTATGATCACAGAAGATGGTAGAAATTACAGAGAAATAGAAACCAGATGTCAGAAAGCAAGTGCACTTATATACCAGTTGTCACCATTATTAAGATATCCAAGCATAACTATGAGTGCAAAGACACAGATTATAAACATCATATTAATTCCAACATTAAACTACCAGTGCCAAACACGGACACTATCTAAAACCCATATATGCAAAATCACCACCTGCGATATTGAATGCCTGTGAAAAGCAGCCAATCTTACAATCCGATTTCGAGTGAATAATGAAACTATCAGACAAATTGTGGGAATGACACCTTGTACTAGGTTCATCAAGAAACAGCAGATCAAGTGATTTGGCCATCTCTTTAGAATGCAGCAAGATATCAAATACCATCACAAGCACTACATCTCAGAAGATCAGCTACAAGAGCAAGAGGACTCTATGCCTTCATGGCATGACCCCAATTAGTCGGCTCCTATGTCATGCTTTTTTGGGGGAGTCTATGGGTGTATTTTTGTGTATTCTTGTTTTCTCCACAATGGGGCCCTGGGGATAAGCAGACAGTTGATAGAACCTTAGTCACAGAAGCATAACCTTTGTTAAAGGCTCCATATTGAACTGCCACAATTCTTAAGGCTTTTGATAAATTTCTTATCTAATGTGTGTTTGATTCTCTGACTGCAGCTAATCCACTCCCAAACATTGCTGCTGCAATACACAAAGTTGACAGTGAAGATGTCCTTGGCACAGGTCTGAATCATGTATTAGGTGCGGCCCATCTGGAGAGCTTGGATGCCATGTTCAGATACAGACATGAGGATATGATTAAGCACCTGCCATCAGAACATGAAGAAAAGTTGGTGTAAGTCAAACGTGAACAATTTTATCTGCTGCTTAACTTTCAGCCCAAGAAGCCACTAAACTGACACTTCAGGATCCAGTTCCCTGTAAATATCACTTTTTTTGATTTAACAACAGGGACCTGTTTATGAGATGAATAGTTGATGCTATTGGCTGTGTTTGCATCTGTGCAAATGTTTTGGAGGTCAAGTATAATACATTAACTAAAATAGCATAGGGTTTTTCTTCAAACCATATGATTTTGTATAAAGTCAAGTTGTCAAATTGTCTTGTAAGCCCCAGTGATAGAGGTCACAGGGTCGTGGCATCAGTTACCTGACACATATGCATTTTGAGGCCCTGGGAAAAGTATTCCAATTATTGTTTTACCTTGTTTGTGTTTATTGATTACTCTCTTGATTTATCTTAATATGTTTAGGAAAAAATATAAATAAAGCACTTTTATAAGCGACCTGTGTATATAAAAAATTTTTTTTAAACGACTGTTTTATGGAACTCCATCAGGGTTATAACATATATTTTTTTTAATTGCTGCTGGGGTGAGAGGCGTGTTAGTTGCATATCCTTTACAGGATATTGCAAGCCAACCCCAGCATTTATTGGTTTTACTAGGCAATTTTACTTGTAGTGGTTTTCGCCATTGCTCCCTCAATGGTCACCACCCCATACCATTGCTGAAATCAATGCAAAGTGGTCTGCTGTCAAATAGCCTGAAGCTGAATTTAACTGAGGAAAACACTGAGGAAGCTTACCCCTCTTACAATTTTTCGGCATGGGGGAGGGGGAGGGTGGGGTTCCAGACAGAACAGTTTTGACCCCATCCTCCACTGAGTGCTAATTGGTCCATTAAATATGAATCTAACATCGTACTCTATACCATACATGGCATAAATCAAAGGAGGACAGGGATGTAGAGCAAGAAGTAGACCAAGAACAAGATGGGAAGATAACATCAGAAAAACTCTACAGGACCACAATGTGTGTATGGTCAAAGCAACCAGAAGAGGATGAAGCAGGACCTTATATCTCCCTCGACACCTAAAGCAGTAAAAGAGGACGTAAGGAAGACGAAGAAGAAGATCGTATGCCCGATCTGCCACTGGCATATAAAGGGTTCTTTACTTTGTTACTTATTATAAAATGCAATTTAAATAATATTTTCCTTCCAGTTCTGCAACATTCCACTTTGTCAGTGGCAGTAGACTGATTACGAACAGCCTTGATCTGAACTTTGCTGACAGAGATCCAGTCGGAGTGATTGTTTGGTGGACAGACTCATTCTTTCTCTGCCATTACTCTCTGCTGAAGACAGGAAAAGGTACAAAGGATATTCATTTGTTTATGTTTAACGATATCTGTAGTCTTCAAATTTTTGTGTGTATATGTGTGCGTGCGTGTGTGGGCTCGTGCAAATCCAACATTTGTTCTTTGAGAACATATTTGTTTTTAAACAAATTATACTATGTGTTAGAAAAGTAAATATACACTTTTTTTCTTTTTCTGCTTTTTGTGTTTGTCCTTAAAGGGCCGATGGCACATTGTTTTGTGGTTTACAGGTAAGCTGTGATATCTGGACCTTTTGGCCCAACACATCTGATTTCAGAAAACCCTTAATTTGTCACCTTTTTTGACATGAAGAAGTGACTGTATATTTTGTGTCTTCAAATTCTAAAAGTAACTTCACACTAGCTGTCTACAAGTTCAGAACGTAACTATACACCTACTGTCTTCTTCTTGTTTTTCTTCTTCTTTTTCTTATACTCCATACCATGTGGTGTTGGTTGTTATGTCTTTCCACAACCTTCTGTCTTGCGTACTTTCAGCCAATTCTGACACTGCTAATCTTTAATGCCATGATGTCAATATGTCCAGTATCTTCTCTTTTGGTCTCCCTCTGTCTCTTTTCCCCTACAACTTTCTCTCACCATCAGGATATACACCAGTTTTCTCCTTCCTGTGATATGAATGAAGAAATTATATTGTCTCCTTCTGATGTGGGTAGTCAATTCTCTTCCTAAGTTTCTTTCAAGACATCGTCATTACTCTTTTTATCTGTCCAGGGTATTTTTGTCATTCATCTACAAAACCACATCTCTGCCGCTTCCAAATCATTTTCGACTAATTGATCACCTATTCATGATTCATTTCCACATATCAAAATGAAATTTATATAACTTTTGATAAATCTCTTTCTTATCTCAAATGACAAAGAAAGATTGCATAGAATATTACCTATTGTCTACTGGTTAAAAAAATAACTACATGTTGAAAAGGTAAGTGTACTCCTACAATCTAAATGTTCAAAAATGTAACTATACATTTACTATCTACAGGTTCAAAAAGTAACTATACATTTAAAGTTAAAGTCGAGAGGATCAACTTCATTGCACTGGGTTTTATCCCATATGGCTTGGTCTCTCTCCTCAGCAGAAAAGCTAGCTGCCTGCCAGGAGCGCCATGTAGAGCATGAACTTTGTAGCTCCGGCCACGATCCCTAGGTATCTCCGTAAAAATTGCACTCGTGAACTGAACGGCGCAACCATGAAATAAACCCATGACCTTCAGAGCACTAGGCAGAAGGCTTTACCAGTTTACCACAGAGACCCACTGAGACTGTACATTTACTATGTCCAAGGTCAAAAAGTAACTATATATTCACAGTCTTAAGGTTGAAAAGGTAACTATACACCTATTGTCTACAGGTTCAGAAATAACTAGACATTTACTATATAATAAATTACATAAATAAGAGTATGGGATCAGATATTTTGAACATCTTTTGAAACTGATAATTGGCACAAATCTGTACTTACATTAAGGTCAGTTGCGTATCCTTTACAGGACATTGCAGAACCAACCCTAACAGCCCCTGGCTGTTGTGGGGTTTCTCTTGGCAAATCTACGTCCAGTAGTTTGCCATTGCTTTCTAGACGGTCGGCTTTCTTGATACGCGCAAGGCGCGTGGCCCGCAGCTGGGAACGAACCCGGCATCCCGGAGCGTTCGCATCGACATAGCCACAGAGCCGACTCTGTACATACAGCATTAAAAAAAAAATTAATACAATTAAATGTGTTACAATGACCATACATACACTTTTGTGTATCGCACACTCTGTATGATGCTGTTTCATTAAAAATAGGTGACATTTATTTATTTTTATTTGTTAAAATGCTGCAAACACAGAAGACGCCCCTGTGGGTAAGATGCCGCTTGTTTGTTTTGTTTTTCTTAATTAACCACAGTAAAACCGTGTGAGATGAATTCCAAAGGACAAAAAAAAATCACAAGTTTGTGTTAAATAAATTGGTGCTTACTGGGGACTGATAGATGTATTCTGAAAAATACATCCCTGCTGGGACCAAAGTTTTGTTTATGTTAACTGAGTGTTTATTATAAGCTGTTTATGTTAGCTGTGTGTTCATTCTAAACAAGTTCATGTTAACTGAGTGTTCATTTTAAGCAAGTTCATATTAACAGGGTGTTCATTTTAAGCAAGCTCATGTTAACTAATAGATGTTTTATGAAAAACACATCCCTACTGGGACAACAATTTTGTTTATGTTAACTAAGTGTTCATTTTAAGCAAGTTCCCATTAACAGAGTGTTCATTTTAAGCAAATTCACGTTAACTGAGTGTTCATTTTAAGCAAGTTCATGTTAACTGAGGGTTCATTTAAAGGAAGTTCATGGTAACTGAGGGTTCATTTTAAGCAAGTTCCTGTTAACTAGGTTTAACTGCATTTCAGTCCTAGAAGATTTGACATCCAGTATCGCGTGGGAAGGGTGGGGGGGGGGGGGGGGGGGGGGGGGGGGGGGGGGGGGGGGGGTAAAGTAACCACATAAAAGAATTGATGAGATTGTTACTTTCAAAGCATACATTATGCTGCATGGAAACGTAACTGTATGGAACATAAAAGGTAATAACTAAATTAAAACAGCGTAACTCTTTCAGTACCAGGGGGTTTAGCATTAGAGGCCCAAGCAGTAGTAAAGAGAGATGGATAATCAGCACATCTTGCATTCTTTGAACTTCTAGGTAGAAATCTAGAGAGGGAGGTAAAGGTGGCTGATATGAAATTATGATGATTGAAAAAGTAAATGTAACAACTGCCTTGACAGAAAGGGATTAAAGCATTACCTGGGAATTATTAAGTGTACTCACAAAGCCTAAGCCACAGACATTTGGAACAGGGAAAGTCAATAGCACTGAAACTGAAGATAAAAGGTAAATCTGAAAGAATTAGCAACAGAGTGATCACAAAAATCAATTACCCACAATCCCTGTTTAGGTGAGGGTGGGTAGGTGGAGGGGAGAATAGACCCCTACCCATGAATTACAAGACAACTGATTAGAAATGTTTCCTTATAAGTCAGAGTACAACTGTTTGAGTGGCCAGGAGCTAATAGTTTGCACACAAAGATAAACCAGATCTGTGAAAAAGATGTGCACACACAGACCAAGTTCTGGAACAAAACCAAAGTCCAGAAGTTGATAGACAACCAGAACTTTTCGCTGGAGTTTACAGTCAGCCAATGTGAAGAAGAAGTTTTACCCTGAAATAACAAGACTATAGTAGCAGTAATGTAACAACCAGAAAAAAAACTGTTTAAAAAAAAAAGGCAAAGTAAAGAACTGCTTGTTTTCCATCATCATCCAGTTGTGCTGTAAACATGACATAGGGCTCGTAGTTTGTTCTTCCATTTCTTTCTATCCTGTACAATCTTTTCCACTTCGTGGTTGGAATCCATTGAATCACTCGTAGCCATTTTCATCAACATTCTTCTAGGGCTTCTTTGGAACATCATTTCATCAGTGCATTTGTTCCTCCATTTCAGTGCCTGTCTGATGATTCTTTTGTTTCCACATTCTGATGATTCCTCTGTTTCCACATGTTTGATGATTCTTCTGTTTCCACATGTTTGATAATTCTTCTGTTTCCACACTTTGAGGTCTTTTGTGCATGTGCAGCTAGGTCTATATTCACTAATTGGTCCTCATTGAGTTATGTGGTCAGTGTCATAACAGATACCTTTATTTTACAGAACATTTCCTATTGCATGTTTTAGGTTGAATCGACCTGGGAAGCACATGTATATATAAAAAGTGTATGAGTCACTGAAGATGTTAACAGATGACTAATAGGCACACAAAAATAAATAGTATTATGCCATGGCTTTATTTTGCTGACAATTTTTTTTTAGGTCTTGTCTTCTTTTATGTTTTGCATTTTAGATTTTCTTTTATCTCTTTGGAGAGCCGTGGTGGCATAGCAGCTAGACACTGCTGACCCAAAAGTCTAGAGTTCAAATCCACATAAAGGAAGATTTTTTTTTTTTTCAAAACAGACCTTTGCTTCCAGTTTGACCCAGCCTAAAATCGGTACTAAGTAATGTTCTGTGACGTAAAAGTAGCTGACGTGACGCTGACCATTTCACCCAAGGAGTGCCAGCTCCTCTACAAAAATATAGGTCTAGCACTATTTACCTGATTTGCCAAAAGTATGAAAAGGATTCTTTACTTTACATTTGATCTCTTTGCACTTTGGATTCCAGAGAAAAGATAATCTTGTTTTATTATTATCAGGTATTCTCAGTTAAGTATCCAGTCCAGTGATGGTGTCTTGTTTTGTATTTTGTATCTTGAATTGTAGATTCAGAAAATGGCGCGATGCCTGTCATGCAATGTTGGTTGTGCCCGTATGTGATCAAAATTGATCACGTGGGCAACTGCTGATCTGTTGGTGACAAGTTCTGCTATCAATAATGATGAACTGCATGTCTAATGTTGGACTGTTTGTGTTAGCACTTCGGATGGCTACCATATGTTTTAATGCGAATGTATGCTAGAAATGCTGGGACAGCAGTCTGTCAATCTTTCCACAAGGGTCTGTGATAAACATTCTGTGTGTTTTTCATTGGCACAGTAGCGGAGCAAAGATGGGGTGACCCCTTTGCTATGAAGCTTTAACTAAGACTACCAGACCAGACTACCAGACCAGTGTCTTGTGCTAACATTTTAATTCACAGAAATTTGTTAAGTTCCTTTTGTAAGCACTGAATTTGTGATGATCTTTTCTAGTAGAAGTTATACATACCTTTTAATAACTTGTTCAAGAATAACTTTAATCTCTTTCACAAAAACAGATACAGAGCTGAAGCCAGAAATGGTGTGGCCATTTCCTAGTAATATCACGTGCTCTGCAGTTAGCCCATGCATGTACTACTTGGCTGTTGGTCTGGCTAATGGAAATATTGTCTTATGGAACAGAAAACTAGGTAAGAATTTTAGTGAATGTTTGCTTTAATACAAAATTAATAAATAATGTAGGTGGGTTTTTAAAAGAAATGTTAGTAAGTCCATTCAGAAACTCTTGCCACTATTCAGAGTGCCACTGCACAAGAAACATTTGACTGGAATCGTTGAAATTGCTGAATAGTATTTTAACATATAAGTCATTACAGGAATATTACTGCTCTGAAACATAGTACTACAGTATAAAAGGAGGTTTATACCTCATTAACAAGGGTAACTAAAAGAGGATTAATAAAGGTTTTGCTGAAATTGGGGGAGTCACCATGGCGGAGCGGCTAGACGTGCACCGCAGATCGGAAGGTCGTGGGTTTTCTCCTTGGCGGAGCCGGACTTTTCTTTATAAATGACCTTGGCTCCTAGGAAGACCCAGCCTTGAGTGGGTACCGAGTGCAGTCCCGGGAAGTAGAGGCGGCCGGCGTGATGCTGACCACATCACCCATCTTGTGCTGTTGGTCTACAAAATATAGGCTTAGCCCTATATGCCCTATATGCCTAAAGGTGTGGAAAAGGGTCCTTTACTTTTTTTTTTTTTTCACTTAAATTGGACATGTTGAGTTGAAAGTTGTAGATATCACATATATGACACTACAACATGCCAACCACCGTTTAAGGGCGTACACAGATCAAAAAAAAGAAGTAAAAGAAGGTAAATTAATGGACCATTAATTTTCCATCCAGACCTTTTGATGTAATGATATCTGTGAATTACCTCTCTATGTTATTGTTATCATTTGTTTTTGTGATGTAGGATTCTTGTTATTTTATTTGCCCATATAAATTTTGGTCAAAATGTTTACTTGTATCTATGATCATATTCTGTTTACCATTTTCCTAGCACTTAATTGTTTTTTGTGCTGTTTTCAATTTAGTCTTTATATAACTATTTCAACCCTTTTAGGTTTAATTATTTCATAGCTTCAAGTATTCATATCTAAGGATAGAACAAGTTTTAGTGACTTTCTCCCAAGAATTAAAGAGTTCATCTGTGCTTACTCCTTACCTGCACAAGACTGCAGGTTACACATCAGGCTGGTGTAACCATTATGGATGCTCCAAGTATAACTTCTTAGGAGGCTGAATGAGTTGTCTAGGGCTTGCCCTTTTGGCTGCTATCCAGAATTAGATTTGGTAATCTTAACTCTTTGAGTCCCAGGGGGTTTAGCATCACAGGCCCAGGGGGTAGTAAAGAAAGTAATAAAATCGAAGCATCATGCGTTCAGTGGGCTTCTAGGTAGGAACCTATGAACGTATGATGTGTTCCTTTTGACTCAAAGAGTTAAGGTGTCAGACCTTCAAGTAGCAGTCCAGAGGGGGAAAACAGAATGAAGGAGGGAAAGGGTTAATCTTTTGGTCCCATAAGGTTTTGTACAGAATTGATTGTTTTTTTCAGTATGTATTGCTGTGACAATTGTAACCATTTTCTGTATTGTAGGAATGAAAACCGAATGAAATCACTGTAGTTTCCAGATTTATTTAGTGTACACAGACCAAAACTTTAATATGAGAAGACACTTGATGTCATTTTTGAGACATGTTGGGAATAGTCAGTAACACCTCATATGTTGTTTGGCACTGAAAAAGTTAATATATAATAGTATGCCTATATCTTCTTTATACAGTTTGGCATTAAGTGCAATTTTCTACTTTATTCATAGGTATACAGAAAGCTGTTCTGAATGCATCAAACAAAACATCTGTCAAAAGCATCCGATTTCTGGATCCTGGCCTGTTCCCGCTTGATCTGCCTCAGTACCCACCCTACCCCACGATGTCTGCAACATTCTTATTGGCTGAATGTACGGATGGCACACAACTGTTGTTTGATACTTGTGATGGCAGCCAGCAAATCCCAAGATGCATTGCTGAAGAGTAAGTATGGGCTGCAGAATGCATTTTCTGGTATTAAAAGAGTTAAATGGGGTTTCTGGGTTTCAAATGGTTGGTTTTCCATCCAGGAGATGACTTCTGAAGTCATCATTATCATCAAGTGCCTTGCCAACTGGCATGGGCAATTATGCCTCTGCATAATCCACAACTACATGTATCACTTCGTGTGTTGACACCTTTTCATGCCATGAGAAAAGGCGGTTAAGAATCTTCTTGCACTGTCTTCCTTTCTCTCTCTTTCCACAAATCTTTCCATTAGTCACACCATGTTCCATTTTCCCTCTTCTCATAACATGACCAAAAACTGATGACCCTCTCTTTCTAATGTTTTGGATAAGTTATCTTCAGACACCTGCCTCTTTAAGAAAATTGGGATTACTCTTCTTAGCTGCCCAAGGAATTCTAAAAATTCTTCTGTAAAACCATATCTCTAAAGCCTGAAGATATTGTATGGCTTGTTTATTATTTGTCTAGGAGGCACAGCCATTTGTTAAAACCGGATCTAAAAATCTTGCGAGAATTCTTTTCTTTATATCCAATGACATGGATTTATTGCACAAAATGTTCTTCATTTTCTGCAATAAATCCATGTCATTGGAGATTAGGAAAAGGATTTTTGCAAGCTATATAGATCCGGTTTTAATATGTGGCTGTGAATATGAAGTCAAAAAGGAAGTCAAACCTAGAGTGGAAAACAAAGGCTGAAGTATGGAGCTAAGGAGAAAAGTTGTTAATATGAATAAGAAAACAGACTGATCTTGTGAAATGTGGTGTCAAGGATAAAAGTGGTTAATATGAATGAGAAAAGAGACTGATCATGGGAAACGTGGTGCCAAGGTAGAAAAGTGGTTAATACGAAGTGATCTGGTGAAGTGTGGTGACAAAGTAGAAAAGAGGTTAAATATGAATAATAAAACAGACTGATCTTTTAAAGTGTGATACGAAGGATAAGAGTGGTTAATATGAAGTGAGAAAACAGACTGATCTTGTGAAGTGTGGTGCCAATAGAGAAAAGTGGTTAATATGAAATAGAAAACAGACTTATCTTGTGAAATCTGGTGCTAGGGTAGACAAGTTAATAATTAGTGAGAAAACAGACTGATCTTGCGAAATGTGGTGACAAGGTAAACAAGTTATTGATATGAATGAGAAAACAGACTGATTTTTAGAGTGTTGTGCCAAGGTAGAAAATTGGTTAATATGAAGTGAGAAAACAGACTGATCTTGTGAAGTGTTGTACAATAGTAGAAAAAAAGTGGTTAATATGAAGTGGTCCAAAGTTCAGTCTCTAGTAGTAGCTAAATTTGTATCCATCCTCTTCCTCTTCCTTGGTTAATCAAACTTTCTAAGATTTAGACCATAGTTATTTATTGAATATAAAAGTAAGGGAGCTGATCATAAACTTCATAACTGTGTGACCTTGGACTTTACAACTTTATGCAAGTAATGAAAAACCATAGATTTGAGAGATGCAAGCCAGCATGACAAAACAATTGATGGCTATTTCAGAAAGCAATTGAGTATTTGATAATGTATGCTTTATATTTCAGGCCAAGTGATGATGATGATGTTCAGATATTGTTGCAAGTTATTCCCAGTCTGCCTGAACTGGTAAACATTTCTATTAATTGTAGTAAGCTAAGTCTATTTCACCATTATGTTTTGTTGTATTGATAATGCTTCTCAATAATAATAATAATCTTAATCTGGTGGCACTTGCCCATTTATTCCAGATGATAGTTTTATTCCATTGGGAAGTATGTGAATCCCAGCCCCTGAGGATAGCACAAAGCCTGGGCAGTGTGGTAGAGACCATGTGTTGCACACTCTTAGTCAATGACATCATTATCGTCCTCCTGAACTGGTAAAAATTTATAGAAGCTGTATTATTTCGCAGGGGTAGTATGCTATACTCCACTAAGACTCTTTCTTGCTTGTTCATCCTCAAAGGGTAGTTGGCACACTGCCAACAGCCTAGTTAACACCTAGGCTGCGAAATATCTGTGCTTTTTTGGGTCCAGTAAGTCAAATTTCAATAAACCGCTAATTAATTTACTTTTTACGAAAAGCTTGTTGTTGGGGAAAAAGGACAGGATTGGGGGAGGGTAGGTGGGGGAGGGGAGGGGGCGCCTATTATTTATTTCCTTCTAAAATGGGGCCAAGAACCCACACAGGGAGATCCCCTCTGACATGTCTCCACCTTGTTATGGATATTTCAGTGACTCTGTGCTTCTGAAACACAATTCTTACGGAGTTGGTGCTTTGATACAGGATCTGAAGAAGTGTGAAGTGTCTGCCCTGATTTTTTTTTTTTAGTACTTATTGCTAAAATGCTGGTTTTTGAGAAACAGAGACCGGCCCCTGAATTATAATTTTTTTTAAAATATATCTAACACAGCAAACATGTAATTTTGAAGATAGGTAGTTGGGTAATGGCAGTTCCAATGTCAAAACAAATTGGTCACCCCATTGTAGTTCCGTTCTGTGACAATGGAAACCAGACATAATGTCCATCACTGTCCTTTGTGAAATAAATTGACAGAGACAACAAAGCCAATAACATACACACACATTAAATGCATAAGGCAGCCATCAGAAGTGCCAACACAAATATTCCAGCCCTAGAAATGCAGTTCATCATCGATGGAAGCAGCAGCTACAACAGGTCGGTAGTTTCATATACAGTTAATCACATAAGGCACCACCAGCAACTTCCTATTGTCTGTATCTATAGATCACATAACAAACAACTCTTGGCATAGAAAACAAAAACCAATCTGTAGCTCACAGTGTCATGCCATGCACTCAGCTCAGAAGCTGGGTAATGGACTATATCATTTCTGTCAATGTATCGAGAGAAATGCAATGGCTTACCATTGTCAGTAGCAAAAACTTGCTGTGACCAAAACAGTAAACCTGCCTTTCCACCATATTGACTGGAGGTAAGATGGAATGCACCTAAATATGTCATCTACAATGTCTCACAGTCATGTCTTCTTCTTTTTTGTGTTTGGTTTCGTATGCTCAGATCAGACCATCAGGTTGGTTGCCTCTATGAACTCGCATACAGCCATGTAAGAGAAGTAGAAGGTTAGGTAAAATTGACATTTGGTTTTGTTTTATTCCTATTGTTCTTGTGATAATTAAAGAGTGAACATAGAAAGCTATTTATTTTGGACAATTTGTTTACTAGATGACCTACGTCCGAAAGAAAGGCAGTATGTATATTAAAGACATTGGTTCTGGTGCTGATGTATGCCAGATTGTCCTACCTCCAAAATATCAGATACAATCATCCTGGAATCCTATTTTTGCTCTTGCTAAAAATGGGGATATTTTATTTCTCAAGGGTAAGTCGATCTGTAAGACAATTTTGACTTTAAAATGTTTGTGCAATAAATATAAAATAGTGTGTAATAGCTAAATGTCATGTGTAATTGTTCTCATTTGTAATGAAACAGCTTGTTACATTTTTGTTCAAGTCTGCTGCTTTATATTCATTTGATAAAACAGGATCCCTAGTTGCTAGAAACAAAATGTTAGCTATAATACTGGTTTGTTATGTCATTTACAGTGGATAACAGTGGTTTTGTCGCTGTTATTGACCTCTTTAGCATCTGAAGTGATCTTTAGGTCCAAAAGTTTAGATGAGTCAAGAACTGACATCACAACACTCAGGGCATTTGCATACATGCTCTATTCCCACCCTGAGCAACCAGCACAGAGTTCCAATACTAATAGTGCCGGTTGTAGTCTGGTTGTGTGTCAATCTTGCCATTCCTCTGAGCGTAGTGTGCCGGCCCAATTATCTTGTCATAACCAGGTGCATCATTCTCTCCAACCTATAATAAATAGGTTTGAAAGAGTTAATATTATCATTCTAAAACAATTTGTTATAATGTCTTGTTTGATTATGGTTGTGCGTAAATAGTAATAATTATTAAATATTGTTAGTACTCATAGAAATTATCAGCAGGTAACATTTATTTTTCTGTTCCCAACAGGTGAGGGTACAGATGTTGATGATGCAGGTAAAGTAGAAAATATCTCAAGCATCTTCATGTTTGATCTCCTTTCGTGTTCTTCCCTGGAAACATTCAGAAGCCACAAACAGGAGAAGAGGGCGCTAGCTGTGTACACTACACAGGAACAAAGAATGAGTGCTCTTTTGCGTGAGAGGTACAGTATCAATGAAATTATAAACTGGCTGTGGTTTTTTATAGTTAATATTTTGAAATTTTGCTGTTATGGTAACAGGGATATTAAAGTCTGATGCACTTATTGTAGAAGACTTATCTTAATGTGGGTTGGTGTAGCTAATCACACTTAACATTGCCCTGGTCAGATCCGTGTCAACTCTGCCTGCAAACATTATGTCAAAAAAAGACTTCTTAACTCTTTGAGTCCAAATAATGCGTCATGCACCATGCACTAATTGGTAACTACCCAGCCACCCGTTTGGTGCATGCCGTGTACAAGTTTTTAATTTACAACTGGCAAGCATAAAAACGCAAACTGGCAGTTTTGAATGGCATTTACTGTTCTTTTTGTTCAGTAACACACTTGTTACTTGTTGACTATTAGGTTCATTCAGAAATCTGGTTCTTCCACTTCTTCTTTTCTCTACTCCTGAAATGCCTCGTGATGTCAGAGATATCTGTTCACTTCCTATAAAGTACTTTTCCTTGTATCTTAATATTTCTGTATTCAGTCTTCTGCATGGTTGACCTCTGGATGTGTTATCACTGTATCTGTAAAACATTGCTCTCTGTGGTGAGCTGTCTTATGTCAATCTTATTACTTAGCCACACCATTTGATTTGTTTTCTACCTATAAAGTTCAATATTGGTTCTGTGTCAACTCTCCTCCTGATATCATCGCTCATAAGTATCTTTCCTGATTACATGTCAAGAACATACGCTGTCTAGGGTTCGATTCTACTGGCTGTGATGCAGGCTAATGACAGGAAAACACTGCTGACAAACACACTCAAGCCAGACACTGGTTGAAACACACACACACACATAATCTTTATATTCAGAAGAAACTAACTAGTAGAGGTTTATACCTCAGAAGGGGTAGTGCTACTTATTCTAGAACCAGGCCGCTTCTAACTTTACAATCACCAGACACACCTTTTCACGTTCATGAAATAAGCTCAGAGCCACTACCACACTCCTGTACAGCGCTAACTCAGCTCGCTGTCCCCTGATGCCAAAGACGCTATGGCACACGCCACCTGTGGGCTGGAAGTGCGTCGACAGATGCTAACCCCACAAACAATGCATGGTCTGGCTTACCGTAATGAGTTATAACTACTGACAAAGTCTAACTGCTACCCTGAATCTATTGCTAACTGAGATCAAAATGAAACACATATTATCTACCCTGTAACGTAATAAATAAATTTAATCACACCACCAGCTACTCCGTCCGAGACCAGACAAGTGGAACACCTTGTACGGAGGAAAAGAACAGCTTGTGAAAACATGTTAATTCCACTACATGGCATTGGGCCAAAGGGCGAAAGCTCATGCGCTGCTGGATCGATAACAACAACAACAACAACATCACACCACCAACAGTACACATTACAGCTAATAATAAAATTTCTACTAGTCAGTATGAACAGTCAATGAAGCTATCACAGTCTAACCGTCCAGTCACACATGATGTCTGCAACTCAAGTCTTCAGCCTAGAGAGTTCTGATCTGTGCTTTGCACAGATGTTTTGTTGAACTCCCAGCGTTCACCTATCTGCCGGGCCTGCGTGAATTCTGTTGGTGTTTAACAAGCCTCTTTCAGCTAACACAGATTTATCCGTGTCTGTAACTGGCTCGAGTTTAGTTAGGGGTCACCGCATATGATATTGATGACCTACTATTATCACACTGAAATGTCCCATAACCAAGACGACCCCTGACATTACACTTAGCATAGTATGTGGATTGAAGCATAAAATATAGTGTGTTTGTCAGCTTTACCGAGTTACTAAGTTTCTGAAAACAATATGGCCTCTGAGCAGGCCTCTTTATGTGATGAGTGATAGCTCTAATAAGTGACTCAAGCAAAGCATACAATGATAACAAAGTGAGTTGGCATGAAGATTAAAAAATATGGTGAAAAATGTGGTTTTATTCAGTGTCAGTTAGGTCTAGTATAATCTCCTTTTTTTGGGACCATGGACTATACAGTTATGGGAAAATTAAGTGTTATGTAATGTTTTACTGGGTTTTTTTTTTTTTTTGGGTGAAGATACTATTTGTTTTTGGAAGTCATTAAAAAAAAAAATGGTGCTCTGTTATGGGGTTCCAAAAGTTGCCCTGGAACAAATTCTAATGAACAAATTGTGTTTATATTTTATTTATATGCTACAAAGTGGTTCATGTTCATTTGTTTTTCATTTTGGATTTATTTTATTGAGTTTTCCTTGAGCGTTATAACAATAAGTGCACAAATTATTATATAATTTTACTAATTTATCTAAACATATCATCTGTTTACTTATTGATATTTAACTGCTTACCTCAGATATTTGTTGTAGCAGCATTCTAATATTATTCTCCAACAATCCCTAGTCACTTTGATGTATAAAATGTGTATTGTGACATTTCAAAATTACGTTACTACCCCTTGGTCCTCTGATGCTAAACCCCCTGGGACTCAAAGAGTTGAAAGTCGAGAAAGTTCAAAATATAGGTTTTGTCTTTGAATAAATTCTTCAAAAATAAATCCTGCTAGAATTATTTGCTCTAAGCAGCTGACTGAAAACCAGCTTGTTCCTCTCTCAGGACTGTGTCAACTAACTTTATTTCTTTTGAGAATTATTGCAATAAAAGTCATGGACATTACTGATAACAGAGTAATTCCTCTCCAGTGGTTACAGTCCATAAGATTACCCATTTTCATTATGTGAACAATTTTGTTTCTTTCTTCCATTGATATGGGATGTTTTTGTGTGTTCCATTAGTGTTTATTTATAAGTAAAATAGTGTGTGTGGGCTAGTCTGGCCTCTGTCTTCCACAGTGTCTTTCATCAACAAATAAAATAATGCATTCTGTACACTGCACACCAGTTTGTTAGTTAATTTACTGGACTGGCTACTTTTATGCACGTTTCTAAAGCAGAGTTGTTTTATGAGCTTAGGCAGCTGGCTCCATGCCAAACCCTCCTCCTATCTCATCCAAATTTATGGCTGGTGATGGTAGAAATCTGGCTGTTAAGCTCATTCAATATTTAATACAGGATATAGTTGTAAAGTTTATTTTAGGTAATAGTATCTGAACTATTCTTGTGTGGAAGTCTTTTCTGGGCTGCAGAACAAAGTTTACTCGTTTAGCCAGTTGGGACATATTGTGGCTTTTGAAAGATCCTCAAGACTTATCAAGGACTAAAAACAAGGGTTCTTTCATAATATCCTACCCCATATGATGTCACAGGACAGTCCAACATTTTAGAGTCTGGTAAAATTGGGTTTCTCAGCTTTCTGATGCTTGCAACAACCCCAAAACTTCTAGAACTGGCCCTAACCACAACCCACCTACATCCCAAAAGAGAGTGCAGCCTAGGTCCCATCACTGCATGCAGCCTAGGTCCCACTACTGCAAAATTAGACTGTCCCGTGACCTGTGAATTTTCTCTGTTTAGGGTAGGATATTAAGAAAGCACTGAAACAAGTTCCACACATGTGAGGCAGATATTCTGACTGTTCGTTCAGCCATACATTTCTTACACTTATATAACTGAAAAAAGTAAAACTTATCTTCACATAAATATTGTTCTTTTAAATTTTTTAAAACCAGAATACAACAGCAAGCACTGAGAAAATCTCGCCTGCAAGAACGATGGGAGCAGCTCAAGTCAGAGCTAGGCATCATTCAACAAGCTCGCAAGGTCCCAGTGGATGCCACTAAATTTCCTCTAAGTTGTTAGATGTTGTGAGCAAAAATTCAACTCTATGAGCGAGTAGCATTATTGATGTGTCCAGGTCTCATCAGTCATCATCAGTCATCATCATCATCATCATCATCATCATCATCATCATCATCATCATCATCGTCGTCATCATCATCATCATACTGTCAGTATTGTTATGTCTCATAGAGCTGCAGTTAATTCTCCATTTTATTCTGTCCTGTGCATTCCTTTCTATATTATATATATAATTCAGACCAACACCTTTGGCCTTACTCAAAACTGTTTGTCATAAGGTTTTTGTAAACATTTCCTCACTCTGTTTGTTCCCATTTCAATGCCTGTTAGTGATTCTCTATCCACTTCTTGTTTTATTAGTTATTTTGCCTACAGTGATCTGTATTTAGTAATCCACATCCATGTTTGTTACATACATCTGTATAAACACATATATACAAAGGAAAGGAGCTGTGCTGGTATGTGTACTTCTTTCTTCCGCCATATTTGTGTACCCTTACTCACGCAGGTGCAGCCGTTACAGATGCCCCAACTATAACTCCTTTAGAGGTTGAACAGGGTATCTGGGATCTGCCTTGTTTCTCGGCCATCCAGACTGAGATTCTTTATTCTGAGGATTGTATGGTAAACCTTTAAGATAGCAGACCAGAGGAGACAAACTGATTGATCTGTTGATTGATTACAGTATTTTTTGGTATTGTTTGTATATTTCATGGCATCTGTCTGTAGCATTTAAGGATGGAGGGGGGGGGGGGGGGCCTTTGTGGTCTCAAAGCATGGCATCTGCCTTGAGTGCAAGAGGTCCTGGGTTCAAGCCCCGGTGAAGGCTAAGATTTTTTCACGTGGACTTCTAGTAATTTCCCCTCATCTCTGGGTAGTAAGATCAGACGCTCGTGTGTATTGTTGCACACGTAAAAAAATATCCTTTGGCAGTTGGAAATTGAAAAAAGAGTAGACTGACGGCGCTGCCCGGGCAAAATTTTGAGTTACAAATCTACCCAAAGTATTTCAAGATCCTCGCCGGTGCACTGTGCTGAGATTCTTTGGACTCAGGATGGAGTCAGAAGTAGAACGGAGTACTTATGTGTTACAACCCTTGTGCCATGATGTTGATCCATCATCTAAATCTAAACCTATCTGTAGCATTATTAGGACAAGCTGTTTTCTGTCAAGATATTTATTTGTCCGAAGAAATAATTAGAATTTTTTTTGAAACTTCTACTGGCATCCAGGTCTTCTTAACCCCCCCCCCCTGCCCCTCCCCCTTTTCCAACCCTATACTTCCCCCTCCCCCAGCCTTTTCAACCTTTCTCATATGGCCTCCCCTCCTCCCTTAAGTAGAATAACAAATGTAATTAAAAAGAGGAGGATAGAAAGAAAAATCTCATGCTCACTTGTAACAATAAATATGAGAAAAAGATCCACACAAATTAGAGTTTCAAATAAAATATACAAGAATTGGTCCAATGATAATTTAGTGTCAAAATATCAATGTGATGTTTACTACTGTTTTGTGTTGATAGTTATCTGCTATCTCTTGTCTGATTTTGGACAAGGCACAACCGAGATCACTCTCCATATTAAGCTGGCAGCGCTGTTTTGTTTTTGTGACTGTTTTTTGTTTTGTTTATAGTAAAACTAAAAAATAAATTGATAGTACAATATCAGTTTGCTTGATGCACACCCCCAACCCGCTCCCCCTTTTACAAACTTCAAACCTGAAATTGCAAAATCTGGATGGCAGATGAACAGAATAAATGCCAGATACCTCATTCAACCTCTAAAGAAATTATAATTAGAGCACCTGCAATAGCTAAACCAGCTCGATGTAACGTGTGTGGGTGGGCATGTATTATTTTAGCGCCAAATGTGCATCAGGAAATGTTCTGAACAGTTCATCAGTATCAAGAAACAATTTTGGCTGTACACACCAAGACATGATGGGGTAAAAGGAAATTAAAGAGCTGACAGACTGGTCGTTTCAGTTGTGGTTAGAGGTGTAAAAAGTATAGACAGGCAAGACATAATGTATGTGTTGCATTTCAGAGATGTTGAGACAAAGGAGTTGGGGGTGATGAATGGAATCGGGTATTCAACATGGACGAGCATGCAGAAATCAATTGTGGGGCAAAGAAATAAGATCTGTCAATCAACTCCTACTGTACGCTGAGCATGGAGACACTGAGATGGCGGCTGCATCTGAGGACAGAGCATGAATGGGTTAGATCAGCGGTTCTCAACCTGTGGGTCATGACCCTTTTGGGGGTCAAATAATCCTTTTACCTGGGTCGCCTAAGACCATCGAAAAACACAAATTCCCTGATGTTATGAAGTAGCAATGAAAATAACTTTATGGTTAGGGGTCACTACAACATAAGGAACTGTATTAAAGGGCTGCAGCATTGGGAAGGTTGAGAACCAGTGGGTTAGATCAGTGTGCTGGAATGTTGATACGGACAACAAGCATCGAGTTAATCCTCGTACGTGTTTTTACCTCAGCCTTTGAGAGGACAGTTAGATTGTACAGATATGGGGCTGGCACCATTTACCCAACATGGCTGAAGATGTATGTTCTTTTACTATTCTCTTTACTAACTATTCTCTTTATGTACTATACAGTTTTTAATTCAACCACTTTGCATAAGGGGACAACATTCTTTTTCTCATTTTATGAATGGAAATTATTAGGTGTCTTCCCTTTCCATTTTGCGCAATTTTGATTTTGATCAAGAATGTACAAAGGAAGCCAGCCATGAATGAGGATGTTACTTTATCCTCTATGCAGTTAAAGCTTGTTAGCCTGTCTCAACGTTTTTAAAGACACCACAGTCAGTGGCAGTATTGCCTGATGACACATTGTATGAGAGTAACAGCTACTTCTCATAAACTCTGCCTGCGTTATAGGAGAGGTAACTTATTTGATGTTTGGTAACAGTTAACAGCTTAACAGTTTTTTGTTGTATGATAGTCGTCCTCATGTGGTATGCAATTTTTCGTTACTTGAAGCCCACCCTGGTTTTTGCTGGGGGCAAAAATATGGCCTAACGACTGCAAGGGGTTTCTGGGACCTCTCCACGGGTGATCCTCATCCGCATAATGGCGCTTTGTGTCACTAGGTGTTTATCTCTTGTGTGATGTACTGGTGGGGTACACCATACATACATACAGTTAACGGCTTCACTAGATATAGGCCCATGATGTATCATCATTTAGTATCTAAACATTGACAGCTGTCCGCATCAAGTCTCTGCCATATTGCTGTTTACGTTTCTTGAGTATTGGATTATTAAAGTTCGTGTTCTATGCTGGGGACCAAAGAGATTAATGTAACAAGCATCTGGATGGTGCATTTCCTGGCTCTTGGCAGAGTACACCAGGGATAGATAGTGTTTTATGTAGCTGTTATACGAGCCGTAATTATAACGTAGGAAGCTGAACGGTGTATCTGGGAATTTGTCCTGACAGATATTTCCAGCTACAACCCCATTGTGTGGAGGCAGTTAAAATAGGTTTGTGAAAAGGACAAATAAAACATTGAAAATAGGTTTGTTAAAAGGACAAATAAAACATTTAAAAAAAATAGGTTTAGTAAAAAGAAACACCCCAACCCCCCCCCCCCCCTTTCCCCATTGAGATAGGTTTCTTGTGCACGACGCAATGAAGAGAGTTTTGTTTCTCTTTTATAAAATTTGCATAGGTCACACAGAAAACCAATCAGCACCCCAAATGGTATTTAATACCTATTAAAGGTATTACCCTTGTAAACCCACCCTCCTAGCTATGTTTGAGGGGAAAAATTTAACTCCATACCATTTACATGAGGTCACAACCCAGCTTCGGCTTTTGTTGACTGTTTGTGGTGGTTTTATTGGGCAAATTTAGGTTCCTATCCGCAAGCTGCCCGCACTGGGTACCATCATATTACCCAGCTAGCCTCTCATGCTTAAGAAAAAGGGAGGGGGGGGGGGGGTGGTTAGGGATTTTTTGGTAGCTGCGGAGATGTGGTTTTATAGACGAATGATAAGAATACCGTTGACAGATAATAAGAGTAATGAAGATGCCTTGAAAGAACCTGCCTCACGAAGAGAACTGATTGCTCACATCGGAAGAGCTCAATCTGCCTTCTTTGGTCATGTCATGAGAAGGAAAAACTGGATTTCATCGTGACAGTGGGGGCGATATAGAGGAAGAGAGGCAGGTGAAGAACGAAGGAGAAGATGCTGAACAGTTTGACATCATGGCAGGGAGGATCATCTGTGTCAGAGTTGATTGACGGTATACGAGACAGAAGGTTGTGGATAGACAAGACTACCGATGCCAAACGGCACTGAATTTAAGAAGAGCATCCTGGGCAATTAATAAACAAGCCAAACAATTTCTGGAAGCTTCAGAGATGTGGTTTTACAAAAGAATCCTTAGAATTTTTTGGAGTGTCAAAAAGAACGGTTTAGATGTTTTGAAAGAGGTAAGGACTTGAAGAGAACTTGTCACAAACGTTAGAAAGAGATAGTCATAATTTGTTTCGTTATGTTATGATAAGAAGGAAATTGGAACATACTGTGACTATTGAAAAGATCTACTGGAAAAAAAATGGAGACAGAGAAAGACAACGCGAGAAAGTTTTTGACAGCCTTTTGTCATGGCACCGAGGGTTGTCAGCACATGAACTGATACAGGTTGTTCACCGCAAATTGTGACAAGGCACGGTCGCTTACACCAGTCAGCAAGAAACTTGATGATAATGATGAGTTCGCTATTGCCTACCCAACAGTTGACGCTAGTACCATTCTGGAAATTAACGCAATGCGGTCTGCTGTCAAATGCTGCAAGGTAGGCGGAGAGTATGTTTGAATGGTGTTACTACTGTTTTGACCCTTTGAGGTTGTCTTGCAAAGCAAAGTTTACAGTTAGTAAGTTTTCACATTCAGTCTCCTTCTTAACAGACAGTTTATCAACAAAACTCTAAATTCGTTCACTAGGTCACTTGTCAACATT